CTGTCGGTTTACCGTCAATCAGTTCATCTTGACGCCGAGTCCCTTACGGCTAATGACTCGAGCTGTTTTGTTTTGAAACTGAACTCTTCTGTTCAGTCCTTATGTAACAGCGTCTCTCACGAGAGCATGGGTTGCATTGTACTGCATATTATGGGAGTGAAGAAAGGCTGCGGAACATAGCCATCTTGAGTTCTTTGTGGTAAAGATATGTACCCTTCACGTCGCTTCACATAACGTCACGGTGAAGAGGAGTATATCCACTGCGTTAATTGAGGAAACGCTGTGATATTTCTGACTGGATAATTTCTTCTCCATCATACCCAAAATAGGTATCACAGTTCAATGGAATATTGGACTACGAATAGAAGCAGACGAAATGTGTAACGTGGACATATTAGCAAGACGGTGTGGCATTTCGGCCAAATTCTCTCAGCTTCTCCAGAAAGCATATGATTTGTACCAGTCAGTTTGTAATAAATTGAAGAATATATTATCGCACCTGTCACTCAAAATGAGTGAAGATGCTGTAAATTCATATAATGTCTTTGAAAAATAAATTTTAGGTTAAAGTTCAGGTAAGTAAAAGGTTATCAATATCTAACAACAGTTGTTCGTTTAATTGAGAAACATAAGCGTGTTTATGACGTATTTATTATAATAAGTAAGGTTCGAATTCATATACATAGATTGCTAATTCAAAAACTCATATTTTACGACTAACATACCATAGAGATGGTTGTTTTGATGTGTTGAAAGTTTATGGGCCCAAATCTTAAATTCTGGTAACATTTAAAGAGTTATTTCATATTAATATTTCTATCGATGATTTATTGGGTCAAGAATATTCTCTTCATGTCGTCCAGACCAGTCTAGAGGCCCGTCCAGCCTACTACCGAATGGGTACCTGGGGTTCTTTCAGCAGTGTAAGGCGGCAGGGGGGTGAAACTGACCACTCACCACTAAATAATTCCGAATTCAAGAAAAAGTGAATCTACATTCACTCCCTCCACGCGCCTTCAAGCGTAGTGCTTAATTAATTAAGCACAGGGACAACTTTACCTTCAATCGGCGAGATAATAAAATGTAAGTAATTAAAGAAACACGAAATAAATGTGCAAATTATCGAACATTTAAAAAGAATTTTGTTTAAATACATTTTCACTCACAGAGCTGAGCCCTTCTTCAGAAACCGCCAATTCTGCAGCTACTCAAGAATTTCCCAGCATTTTATGGAACCCGACGGTTCATTACCGTGTTCACAAGAGCCCTCCACTGGTCCCTATCCTGAGCCAGACCAATCAAACCCACACCATCCCATCCTAGCTCTCTGAGATAAAGTTTAATATCGTCCACCCATTTACGCCTTGATCTTCCCAGTGGTCTCTATCCATCTGGCTTTCCCACCAATATCCTACGTGAATTTCTCTTCTCCTTTTTCGTGCTACATGCCCTGTCCATCTCATCCTTTTTGACTTGATCATTATAATTATACTTGGAGGAGAGTAAAATTTATGAAGCTTCTCATTATGCAGTTTTCTCCAAATTCCTGTCATTTCATCTCTCTTTAACTTTACAGTTTTTAAGTATAATTTCACTCCTCATCAGTATAAGGTATCAACTTCAGAGCTGTCTTAAATTGAGAGGAGCTCTCTAACGTCCTAACAGCACTACTTTCGGTTACACAGTACCTCTATGTCTATAAATTCACTGTAACGCGATTCTAAATTATTGTCGGGGGTTCCGTGGCCTATAAACAGAAACGCCGACAGTAATATTGAATCACCGTTTACTCGTATTTATTGCGGCAATGATGAAACGATATTTAAGTTAACATACGACAACATGTTTTAATTTAGACAAAGTAAGACCGACCCTTCTCTCTGTGAAGGTGAGGATCTCGCAGCGATTACTGTAAAGTGTACTAGTTAGTAAGTTATTTAGAGAGGGTGGGTTTCCCCATGCACCGCGACCAGTTTGATCTATTGTGCTTCCCTCTATGATATTCTACCAGTCTCTTTACCCTACCGATAAATGGTGTGTACCATCAGTCCCGCCGAGCAAGCGAGTTCGGCCACTTGCTTAGCGGTGTCTATAATGCTTCCCCCATCTATCAGAGGCCTTAAAGACTATTGTTGGGCGGGAAACTTCATGGAATTTGGCTCAGTGATCCCCTTTGGGGATGTGAGGTTCTTTTACGTGCCATAAAGTTACGACACGGGACACAGCTTAAAGTCCCTCCCGGAGGACTTGTTCCCTGAATTTTTCCGCCCTTAAAAATTCGACGACCTCCGCCGGGTATTTGGACCCGCGTACTACGAGTCATGCGGTGGGAACGTTACCTCTAGACTACGGAGGCCGCTCGTGAAGTGTACTAGCTTCTGGGATGTAATGCAACGTAATCCGGTGAAACGTAACCAATATATCGGCGTAACCTTCTGTCTCCATTTTAATATTCTACGAGGAAACGAAGCAAGAAAACAGCCATAATCTGGACACAAACAGAGGGCTTTGCTTTCCGCCTACTTCTTGTTTGGTTTACTTTTAGAGCCTGCACACACAGGCAGTAACTTCTTTCGAAAAATGGCGAACTTCTATCAGGCTACATCCCGAAAAATGGCATTCAGCCTATTATGAAGTTACGCTTAACCTGCATCTGCCACGCAGTAGGATATCTCACATGTATTTCTTTGTCCTATACCTCTGCAGTTTCCCCTGTACTTTTTGGAATGGTGTTACTCTGTTAGCTCCTTTAGCTGTTGAATTAGTACGTAAAAATTAAGAATTGAACTATTATTATTAATACGAGTAATAATAACGAATTTAATTATTATAATTATTATTATTGATATTATGCATGTATCACGTGGTACCCACCGTAAAACATGTATGCAACTATGAGTAACCTATTTCAATAGCGCAATGGAATATGACACTTAAATTATTTCTGATTAGGCCTCCCGTTCCTCTGATTGTATTACTATTGTTGCTGGAAAAAATGCAAAGCTATTCCGGTAACATGTCGTGGAGACCCATAGGATTGTGAGGCTCCCACATTTTCTGTAGACAGTCGGCTTACAGACAGCAGTGAGGTTGTCACCCTTACGCGCCTGCTGCCCTTTACACCCCAGGAAGATTCCTGGTACTCATTTCTGTTAGAGGCTGAGTCGACCCCAGGGCCACAGTGAGGCTGGAAGGATTAAGTCAGTTGAAAAATCTAATGACCTTATAGGTATTCGAACTCGCGACTTTCCGGCTTGTAGCATAGTGTCTCAATCAACTACGCTAACGTGTACCCCACTTACTCATGCTTAATTTATAATTGGCTACTGGGCTCTTGAGTAATCACTCGAATAAATATATAAATAAATAACATTATTATTAGATCGTATGCTTTGAATCCATGCTGTCCTGGGGCCGTCAGCATAAAATAATACGTTTTTTTGGACGCGACTGAAACTCTTTAAAGCAATAAAAGTTATTTCTGCAACACATATAATTTAACTGTACTTTGTACTTTTATTAATATTGTCACGTGTAAGGGTTACCGTGACCGATAATTGCTGGCTCTAGGTTTGATGAATGGATTTATTGGACGTCTCTATTATAATTTCACTTGATTACAACAGTTCACACATTTGACTCCTTCTGGATTACGAATCTCTCACTATTTTCTGGATCTTGCACTGGTGTCGAGCCTCTAGTCTTCTGTTTGAACCGTCTATTACTCTCGGCTCATTCCTGGTTATAAATGTTAACGCGCGTCCACATTACTCGTGCTCGTGCTCGTGCTCGTCGGGAGACTCGTCTAGCTTTTACTTTTGCTCGTAAATCTTCGTCCACACTACTTCAGTTGCTCGGCAGGCTTCAGCGCGTGAGGATCCGTATATTTACTCGTAGTGTGTATAGGCTATAGTCGTATTTTAATTTATTGGCTATAGTTTTTAAATTAAAAATTTGCTTGTCTCGTGACTTGTCATATCGTCCACATTACTCGCGAGCATAGTGTGTCACACTATCACGAATAATGTGGACGCGCCTTTATACGGCCGTGATAGAAGACACTGCCTCAAAGGGCTCTATTCTGCTCTTTTAGGTCGCGTTGTGTCGGAAACCGTTTTAATTACCATGGTAACAATATCTGCAGCCCCATATCTGTTTACAGCTTAACCCTCGGAAAATGTGCAGTCAGTCGTTTCCTAGTAACGGCCGTCTTTTCTTATTTAACTGTGGAACAATATTTACCCAACCGTTGGCTGGCAATGGACGTTTGCTTCGATTTCAATATTCCGGCTTCAGTCGTCACGTCACAATAATAATTTATCATCTTTATTTTTATTAAGAACGTATTTTTACGACATAAACATTCTGTTCATAAATTACATTAACATTAATTTACTTATTTAACGAGTCGAAATAAACTTATCTGTTAAATATGACATGACGAGCCTATTAGTTTTAATAGCAAATTTATTTTATCTGTGAGACAAAATATTTGATAATTACAAGATGTTTTCTGTAACATAGCTCAAATTTAATTTATACTTAAAAGAAAAGAATTTAGAGACAAAATCCTCAAGTTCTGCAGTAAATTTTAATTTATTATCAATTTGTAAGTTAGAAATATGGAACCAAGCGAAGCACAGACGAATAAAATTCAAGTTACCGAAACGACGAAGAAGAGATCATTGGAATATTATAATCTATAAGCTTACGTGCGTAATGGAAAACCCAGTGTTATAAATATCACGGGCAAATATTAAAGAAATATACTAATATGAAAATCATACGTTTAGAAACACTCCACATCGTACACTTTCAAAATATAGCAATAAAAACCTAAGATCAAAAGACATGTTAGAGGACTTACAAAAACTCCGAAGTAACCGATTCTAAGATAATATTAAAACAAATTTGATAATGATGAAATTGGATCAGAAGTAACGGAATAATACGTGACAATGCTAATGACAATCTAAACTCTCCCAAATACTAAAACTTACCTCTTAATAAGATGAGGCTGGACCCCATCCTGTGGCAGCATTATCTCCGTAACGCCACTCCCACGTCACACTTGTTTCAAGGTGATCTTCAAGCGGAGATAAAATAAAATATATGTAACACAATTTGCACTAATTGCCGGTATTCACCATAATTTGTATTTCAGAAGCACCTTTTTTGTGTGTACCTTAATTCACTTGTCAGTCATGTTTCATTAGCTACAAAGTAAACACAATAACACGGCGCTTACATGTACGTATTTTGCATTCATCATTCGTGAGAAATGCTTAACTAAACAACAAATACAATCAAATAAGTTCAATCAGTTCTTTACTCACAACAAAACTTCTAGATCTATTCAATATGGATAATATTTACTTTATATAATAATTTTAATTCCTTAGTTGAAGTGAAGGAGGGAAGAAATTTAAGAAACAGACTAATTAATTTCTTGAGAATGGGAAAAGTTGACGAATTTGTTACGTGCCATTTGACTGTCACTCTCTGTTGCTTGTACGAAACATATTTTTGTTCAACATTATTCATAAAGCACATTATAAAATCACTTTTGACGGTTCAACAACAACAAAATCAGAAATAAAGTCACTTTCAATTTAATTATAAATTCCATATTCTCACATATTAGGTTTACTTCAGCTAAACATATTTAAAAAGACAACTATTAGAACACTTGCTGAAAGTCTCCTGTCCGAAATAAATATTTTTAATATCACTTAATCCTTAAATATTAAACACAACTTCCGACAAAAATACTTGAGAGCGTCGAGTCATAGTTATCTGATATCTTCCCGAACGTGGATCCACCCTTAAAATCTGCGGGCGTCGCCCTGGAATATCCGACGCCACCGACGTCTACCGAGTACGGCGTGATGTCCGCTCCTGTCGGATCTGGGCTCTGTACAGAACTCAGCTACTGCCGCGCCACCTCCTCCTCCCTCTGGAGAGCCGGTGGCTGACTGCCATGCGCCACCGTGATAATACTGCCCCTGGCGTCTTTCAGGAGTAGTAGTACTGGGTTTGATTCCCAACGCTTATTGTTCTAGGATGCATGCCTACAATACTAACCACAACACTGACTGGCAATGTAAATAGAGCATCTCCTACTGAAGCCAAATGCACAAGTCGACAGGGATAGCGCGTATCGTCAATACGCGGGAGAGTCGTTGCCTTTCGTTGGTTTAATTAATCCTCCTTCTGATAGCCAAGGAGGTTCATCTGGAGGAAAGACAGAGAAAACTGAGCATATGTTGATACCTCGCCATAAGAATGCAGGAAAATATCACAAAAAAAATAGCTAATAAACCCTTTGAAAATATGGAAAAGTTAAAAAATTGGAAACGACAGCAGATAATTAAAATTTGTTTCATGAGAAACTTAAAAGCAGATTAAACTCAGGTAATGCTTGCTTACATTCAGTCCAGCCTTGGAGTCTACTGTCCGAAAGATTAAAAATTAAAATATATAAAAATTATAATTTGCCTGTAGTTTTGTATGGATGTGAAACTTAGCCTCTGACTTTAAGGTAGCAACATAAAATACGCTGTTTGAAAACAGGGTGATGACGAGAATATTTAGATTTAAACGGCTGAAATAATAGGAGGTTGGGATAACTGCACACTGGAGATATCTATGATTTTCACGCTTAGCCAAATGTGATTATAATTATCAAATCAATGAAGATAAGATGGGCAGAGCATACAGAACGAATGGGGTGAATAGGAATGCATATAGGAATTTTGGGGGAAAACTCATATTGAAAAAGTCTACTAATAAGACATACACGTAGGTGGGAAGATAATATTAAAATAGGTTTCATAGAAATCGGATGTGATAATATCTGCTGGATTAGTCTGGCTCAGGATAGGGATCAGTAGCGGGCTCTTGTGAACACGGTAATGAACCTTCGGGTTCCAGATAATTTTGTTAGATTCTTCAGTAGCTGAGGAGCCGGGGTAGCCTAATCGGTACAGCGATTGGCTACGGGCTGGACGACAGAGGGATCGGAGTTCGAGTCCCAGTA